AATTAATTCATTTTATTAGTTTGATTTTCGTTTCTTACTGCTCTGTGGTTTATCCTATGGTCTGAATAGAAGCTCTCTGTTGATTATGAGTTTGAGAAATGTTTTCTTACTCTACAGCTTGCCCTTTTTACCCTCAGAAGGATATTTTTTGAGTAATAGTTCATAAGTTTTTTTTTTAATTCACCTTTTTCATACATGACAGCATACACCCCACGTTTGTGGGGCACCCTTACAGCGTCTCATCGCAAGATGCCTTCTCATAAGCCTCCAGCTCATCAGGAACGTGGGTGTGCGCTCCTCTGGCATGTTTTCAGGTAGACTTACATTCCAAACCCAGGATAGACCATGTGGCTTCCAGTTCTGTGGTTCAGTTCACTAGCACCTGTGCTACTGAGGCCAGGCCAGTTGTTCTTCATTTTAATGTAGTTCCGTTATTTTAGTTTTTCCTTTTATGGCTAGTATTTGTGTGTGTGTGTGTCTTGCTTAAATGACTTTACTTACTCAAGGTCATGAACAGATTTTATTTTTTATTATTTAGAAATTTTTATTTTTCTTTTACATCCAGATCTACAAGTTACCTAGAATTTATTTTTGTACATTGTGTGAGATAGAAATGAGGCTTCATTTTTTATTTTCCATGTGATATCAAGTTGACCCTGTACCATTTATTGAAAAGTTTGTCTCTTCCTCATGATATGCGGTGTCATCTTTATCACACATGAACACATAGCCATGTGTGCATTATTTCTGGATTCTCTATTCCATTTCACTCGTGTGTTTATCTAGACTTATGCCATTATTATACCACGTAATGCAACTTTGTGATAAATCTTGACTTTAAATAGAGTGAGTCCTCAACTTTGTTCATTTTCAAAGTGGCTCTTTGTATTTTAGAATTAACTTTTTTTTTTACACACCATTAATTATGAAGTAAAGGTTTATTTGCTCAAAATATCATTTAAAGATACTCAAATTGCATGTGATTTTATTTACTATACAGAGTTCTGGATGTATGTATCAAATAGAACAAAAAACTACCCTGGATTTGGTTGTTCACCTGTTTTGTGATTTCCCTAGAAAAGAAAAATAAGTTGTCATAGCTACTGATATTTTATTAGGTAATGTTCTGCTACACTGAAAGGGAAATTTTAAACAAAACTTATTTGGAAACAAGTTTTCAAGTAGGGGGACAATTGCTTACATAACATCTTATCTATTCACATCCTAAAATTCTCCATTTATGAATATGGGATGTGTGTATAAGACTTAACCCTGAGTTTACTATGCTGATTAACAGGTACTTATAAAAATATCTGCAATAGAACATTGCTGATCAGTTATACTAGAGGAACATCATAAGAGAGGAAAATCCAACTCTTTGTATTAAAATGAATACAATATAAAAATTGCAAAAAGACCAAAACCACTGTGTTTTGTAAATTATTACAAGAGCAAAAAATTAATCAACTACTTTTCAACATACTTTAGACTTTAAATGTTGTTTAAATAGTTTTGTCTTTTTCTTTTAATTTCAAGAAAAGCAGATTTAGCTTTAATAAATCAATGAAATGCTAAGGAAATATGCTTAAAACTTAAAGCC